CAAGCAACACTGGAGCGCATTGGTGCCGTGCCTGTCATGGTACCAGCCCAGAGTCGGGCTGGGTCCCTGGTATAGGACAGGAGGGGGTATGGACAGTGTTCAAAACGGAATCCACCGTACACGGGAGGGTGGGCTGAAGGCTGGGTCAGAAACACTTGTCATTGTCTTGGTGTCAAGCCCAAGAAGCAGCAATGCTGTTAGCGGGCCACTACGGTTTTCCAAGGGGCCAGAGGGCTCCATCGTGAACACTGCTTTCCCCAGCAGATAACTTCTGGGATCTTGTTCGAAAGCTGGATCTCAGGGATGTGCCAAGCCGAGAAGAAAGCAGGAAAGCACTTCAGCCCCAAACTGCAGTCCAAACGGGCTTGTTCTTTAATCTTTAATGGCTTTGTTTTTGTTTCTTCAGGAAACTAAAGTGCCAGATGAAGCTTAAGTAATGAAGTTATTCGAAAAGCAAAGTATCTTTAGGTAAAAACAGTGAGCAAGCCTGCATTATCTTCCGTGTCTCCCCACTCGCTCCTTACGTAGAGGACTTAATGGTAGAAACAATTCATACTAGTCCCCACATGACTGGCTCATGTATCAAAGAATCAAAAAATTCCAAGTAAAAGAAATGCAGTAAGACGTGAGGGAAAGCAGAGGACACTTCTTTGAGATGTCCCTTCTTATTTATTTATTTATCTCTTCTTGAACCACGAATATTCCATGTTTGGAATGTTGCTGTGATGGCAGGTTCTTGCCGGTCTTCTCATGTCTAGGATCAGGTTCTGGTCCACGGCAAAGGTTCCCTATTTCCTGGAAAACGATCTTTTTCAAAGACTGCTTAAGATGAACAAACAAAAACACAGGAGGGGTTTTGTTCGACACCCCAGTGCTATGGGAGGAGCAACTCGTTTGACAGTGATCTGCTCAGGAGGTCATCTCTGAGGAGCGAGGTTGTACTTGGAGTGGGCAACTCGGCCTTCCAGTGCAGCCTCTCTCCTCCTGGTTATCACACTGAGTTGTTCGTAATGAGGGCAGCACCTGGTGCCTCTGCAGAAGTAGATAAATGTGCCCTTTGTTTGGCAAGTAGAGGTTAGTAGGTTGTTACAGGGTAGGGGTTATTTTGTTTTCAGCTGGTTTCAAACGAATTCGTTTAGCAGAAGCATTAAGGCCAAGACAGTAGCAGCATCTTCAGGTGTGTCCTCAGGAGGGCCTGCCCTATGTCTGTAACAGCTGCAAGGTTTCAGTTTTGCCCAGGGTTGTCCCCAGAGGCATTTTACCCCTCTGTAGGGAGGCTCCTTTTGTGATTAATTGCCCGGCTTGGCTGGCCTGGCAGTCCATCAGATAACTTAGCAGCTCCCCACAATATTTTGTGCTGTGTGGCTCTGGCATTACTTGCGGGTGACTGTTTTGCCTTAATCACAGGTTGTTAAGCAACCACAGATGATTTCTCCTCAGATTTGTTTCCTACATTATTTATAATACCAACCCCGTGATTCATGAAGAGTGTCTTCTCTTTCCCAGATGCGTTCCCTCACTTCCCCCACTCTCCAGGCTGCTTGCCCTCATTTCTTCCAAGCACGGGCATCATAAGGAATGGT